ATTTATTTATGCATACAGAACTGGGGTACAGACCAGAGGTGCAGGGACAGTGAGAGGATTCACCAGAGACAGAATGGGGAGCAGAACAGGCAGACTGACAAAGTACACTGCTGAGGGGAGCAGCGGGTAGGTCAGGAGAGATCTGCCATGCCATGTGGGTCACTTCAGGGGCCAGGAATTGAACTCCAGTGAAGCAACTGCTTCTAGCTTGCTTGCAGTGCTGTATCCTAACCCACTGAGCCACTAGAGAGGTCCGAGAATCCTACATTTATTTAATGTTGCTTTTTCATCTCAATTCAGCAAGAACTGTTGTGGCATAAGATTTTAGTAAGATTACCAGAACATGTCTTTAGACAAAATTCTTGTTAAATTCTTTGATTTAACCCCAAGAAAAAAATAACCAAAAACAGAAGTGAGTAAACCATCTCAAAAGAGGAAAAGAAAATGAATGTATAGCAAGATTTAGAACCAAACATCAGAATTACAGTCACTGTCCTAAAAGTTACTTAAGAACTTGTTTGCCCTAAAGAAACAACAGCAAGTCCCAGGTACAAGCCCATCACCGAGACTCCCAGACCCGAGCCAAGTCCATGATGCCCACGTAAGCCATTTGGGTGCCATTTACTGCATTGTTCCTGGAAAGAAAAAGCCTCTTTTATAGTTTTTGGGGGTCCCTTGCCCCCAAGAATTAGAGAAAGATGGTCTTAGAATTACGTGGGCATTGCTTCCTGCCCCTCTTCAGTCTCAGCAACAGAAGAACAGTAGGGGGCAGCAATCAGCACACAGCTAGTTATGTAGACGTGGACATAAATCCCACAAATCTTGTCTAAGACTTTTTTTCTGGATGAGACCAGTGTTCCTCACAAATATCACATAGCATTGCAATTCTGCTTATCATACTGTGAAACAGAATAGATATGACCAAATGTTCTGTCCTCAACCATTTCTCAGAAAGAAGCTTAAACTAGTAAGCTTCTAGCTACTTTCATTAAATATAATAAAAACTTGATAACTTTTTATCTTGAAGAAAAAAAACTAATTTAAAAAGAGACACCTTAAAATTCCCATACAACTTTTTCACTGTTTTGCATTCTGCCAGCTATTCAGTGTTTTCTTAGACCCTAGGTATATCTATGTATTTGTTTTTAAATCAGCTGACTTTACTTTGAAAGCAATTTTAGATTTTGAATGGTTTCAAGGGGAAAGTGTATACCATATGCCTTCCCACACAGAGCACATGCAGTTTCAGTATTAATGTTGTGTGTAGATGTGGTATATTTGTTACAAATTATTTTTTTTGTTTCAGTTTTTTCTTTTAAGATGTACTTATGCATACAAGAACTGGGGTGTAGACCACAGATGAGAGGATTTGCCAGAGACAGGGTGGGAAGCAGAACACATAGATCTACTGAAATACACTGCTGATGGGAGCAGTGGGCAAGACAGGAGAAGCCTGTTGCGCCATATGTGGGTCAGTTTCCTGGCCAGGGATCGAACTCATGCTGCAGTGGTCGGCCCCAGCTTGACAGCACTGACTTTAACCCAGCCAGGGAGGCCCTGTTACAACTGATGTTAACTAAAGTCCGCAGATTTCATCTTGATTTACTTTTTGTGTTGAATTTACATATATATATATATATATATGTTTACACACACACACACATACACACACACATATATATACATACACACATATACACACATACAAAACACAACTCAGTTGTATATGTATGTGCTGACAAATATATAACGTCATGTATTCATGATCTAACTAGAGTTTTAATTCATCCTTTCACCGGAGATGAGAGTACAATAAACATTTGAAAAGAAAATCCAGATGAAGAACATTTTATGGCAAGAAATTATTTCTCCCCAAATCCTGTGGTGATAATTTCCTACCACCCCTTACCTGTTTTGTAAATCAAAATATGGCTGGCAATTCAGGGAGATGTGTTTAAAGAACCAGAGACAGGAGATGTTCCCAGGGGTGTTGACCAGCACTTGCAGGGTGACAGAGGCAGACGCATCCACTTCCACGGCAGCAGCCTCGTAGACAGACTCTGTATGCTCAGGCTTCAGGGCACACCGCAGATCTTCCTGGGATTCTGATGCCTGTGACGCAGAAGAAACGATGTGCATTTACTGCAAGTGCATGTTTAGTGCATCTTCTCAGCTGGGACCTTATCAAATACACAGACATTGACACAGCACACATAACACTCTTGCATGTAAGAACCACTGAAAAAATGCTGCTGCCTGAAAACCCTATTAATTAAAATTCTCTACAGAAAAAATAGATCATTTTAGATCGCATTCCAAAATGTTTTACAAACTCTTATGGGTTAATTGTGTGTCCTCTGCCACCCCCACCTTCATATGCTGAAATCCCAAATGCCAGAATCTCAGAATGTGACCTAGGTTGGAGAGAGGGTCTTTGCAAAGGTAACAATAAAAGGAGGTCAGTAGGGTAGCTCTAACCCAATAAGACAGGTGCCTTATGGGGAGAGATATGGAGAAGATACACACACAGAGGAAGCCAAGTAACAGGAAGAGGGTCATCTACAAGTCAAACAAAGAGGCCTGGAACAGTCCTCCCTCAGAAGGAATGAGCCTGGCAGTCATCTAGATTTGAGATCTAGCCTCCAGAACTGTTAGACAATAAAATTTGTGTTATTTAAGTCACCCAGTCTGTGATACTTTCTCATGACAGTTCTAACAAACATTATGATAACCATAAAATTCATGATATATTGGTAATATATAGTATCTAGGTAAATGTTTCTACAATTACTGGTATGTAGATACGAATCTACATAGCAATGGTAGATTGCTATCTGTGTTAGAAAGAATTGAAAAATCTAGATGTCCCATTGACTTATTGTTACTACCTCCCTCATTATCTGCATTGAACAGTTGACATCTAATGAAAGGAGAGGAGAGTAGCAACTCTTGCCATTGGATCCCCTCCCTCACCACCTAGCCCCATCACAGAGCACACACTTCTTCAGGTGAAAGCAACTAAACTATTCTGTTACTGACCATAAACCATATTTCTGGTTTTATTTGTTCACATCAGTTAGTATCTGGTAAATTCTTTTAGTCACTATTTGATAAGAGCTAGATCATTTGGTGGGTACCACACAAGTGGAAAAGAAAATGGTGCTGATCTGGTCCTTTAAGACTTGTCTAGTAGGAAGAACTAAAATACATGTGTCTCATAAAAGGAAACCAAGTACTCTGAAGAGTAAAGTTAAGTGCTCTGGAACTTCAGAGGATAGGCAGGTCACTTCAAGCTGAACCATGAGGCTGCCTCACTAAAGTCTAGCATTGAACTGAATCCTAAAGGAAGGACAAAGGATAAAGTAAAAAATAAAGGCTGAGTACTGGAAAAAAATATTTGCAATATATATCACAAAAAGAGTTCATACTCCTAATGTAAAACAAAACAAAAAATAATTAAGGGACACAGACTAAGAACAGAGTAGAAAAATAGGGGTGGGGATGAAACAGTTCCCACACAAGATATAAAGAATGGTCCAAACATATGAGAAAATGTTCAAACTCACTAAAAATAAAAAATGTAAATTAAAAAGACACTGAGATATCATTTATCTAATGGGCAAAATTTTCTTAATATGATAATAAGATGGGTTTTTGGCATGGTTATGAGGAAATGGTTACTGTCATATATTGCTAAGGGAGAATGAACTGGTTGACCCCTGTGGAGGGAAGTTTGGCAACACCCAGTAAAACTACATATGAATTCACTGACAATCCCAGGTTGAGCAATGTACTTCCAGCTACAAACTAGCATCATTTGTAATTGGAAATAGCTTAACTGCTGATAGAGAGGAGAGTGATAAAATACACTAAGGTACATCTGCACAATGCAGGCTAACCGAGTTAAAAAGACAGTCTCTACAAACTATTTTGGAGCCATTTCCCAGCTATCCTTTAATTGAAGAAAATGAAATGCTAAAAGGATGCTTCATGTACAGAAAGAAGGGGCCATAAGAAAATACACATTCAGGGCCCTCCCTGGTGGCACAGTGGGTTCAAGCACTGCATTAAGAAGCTTAAGAGACTTCCGCATGAGTTCCATATCCGCCTGCCCCGGAAGAGATCCACATGGCGCGGCAGACCTCTCCTGACCCGCCCGCTGCTCCCCTCAGCAGTGTACTTCCTCCATCTGCCTGTTCTGCTCCCCGCTCTGTCTCTGGTGAATCTTCTCACCCTCCGCATCTCTGGCCTGTATCCCAGTTCTGTATGCATAAATAAACAAATAAAAAAAAAAAAGAAAATACACATGCATTTTGTATTTGTATACAAAATACAGAAATGACATAGAAAATCTAAAGGGACTAGTTGAGTACAGGAGGTAGGTGTAAAAGGCTAGAAACTTGGTAGAAAGAAGAGGAGGTAGTGGTCTTCTGAGTAGACACTCTTATACAACTATAGCTCTTGAGGCCAAAATTGTGTTTCACATGCACAAAAAATAATTAAAACCAAACAGCACATGTTCCTCAAAATGAAATACAAGCCAAATGAACTCAATTGTTTAACAAATAAATAACCTAACTGAAAAGGATGTTTCACACTAGGATGTGGGTTAGCAGCTCTGAAACTAGTTGTATACATAGGATTGAATAAATAATTACAGATATAGAGAGCCAGATTTCTTACTCTCAGAAAGAGAAGTACCAATAAGAAGGAATGCTTCAGCGTGGAATTGAAATCAATTATTAGGGTGAACTGAAGGTGACAGAGATAGATAAAGAGAGAGATAAACAGAGATAAGTAAGGGGAGGTTAGTATATAGTCATGTGTCACTTAGCTACAGAGATGTGTTCTAAGAAGTGTGTCCTTAGGTCATTTCCTGGCGGTATGATAACCCTAGAGCATAACTGCACAAATCTAGATGGAAGAGCCTAATACACCCATGTGGTGCAGCTTATTGGGAGCACCATCCTTACAGAGGCTGTCACTGACCAACTTGTGATTCAGCGACAGTGTATTCATGTATTTCCTAGGTCTGTCTGATAAGGGTCCTACAAGCAATGGCACTCCAGTAATGAGCCTGATCTTGGTCTTGGTCTCTAAATGTTTTCAGAAACCAGTCTCCATAGTGCCTCACCAAGCTCCTTGGAAAAGTGGCTAATTCAGGGCCCAGGCAGAAAAAATACAAGATAAGCCTGAACAATCTAATAGCTCCAGAAAGTAGGGTAGAGCTTAAAAAATGCCACGATATGTTAAAAGGACACAGTGCCCATCCTGAAGTAGCTCCCAATAACCAAAACTGGAGCACTGTAACCAACAAAATAAAAATTATAATATTGGATTATAACCTGTAGAAAAAACAAATAGCTGAGTGCATACTGATGTAAATAAACAAATAAATTTAAAAGATGTAGAGAAGGGATAGCTCTTTTTCACAGAAGAATTTCAGTGAGTAAATGTAGAGGGAATGAGAGAAAATGAATCATAGTTAGGCAAACAACATAACTGTTATAGTAAGACCCAAAATCAAAAGGTGAAAACTGGAGAAGAAACAATATATTTACCACTCCCCCAGAATACTTGTTAATTACAAAGTAAAAATAATAACTTCATTGTGTAGATCGTTACTGAACACACAACTAGTAACTCAAGTGCCTATCACCAGTAACAAAACAAAATGAGAATCCTTCAGTGCCTCTACTAGAAATTATGGAACATAACATCACCTCCACAAAGGTCTTGCCAAATAGGCATAATCTCAGCCTCATTGTGAGAAAATATTAGATGAAATCCAAATTGAAAGATATTTCAAAATGTCAAGGTCATCAAAGACGAGAACAGACTAAGGAACTTTCACAACTTGGAGGGACCTAAGGAAATATCACAACTAAATATAACATGGGACCCAGGATACAGTCTCAGAAAAAATAAAGGACACCAGGGGGGAAAAATGGTAAAATTTAAATTAGACCTGTAGTTTTAGTTACTCGAATTGCACAGAGGTTAATTTTCTAGTTTTGATCATTGTGTTATGTTTATGTAAGATGTTGATATTGAGGCCAGCTGGGTGATGGTTATTCAAGAGCTCTGCACTATTTTTGCAGCTTTTCTGTAAACCTCAAAATCTCGCAAGCTAAAAATATTTTAAAGACAGCACAATTTAGATAGACAAACTTCAGAGATGAGAGAACGGAAAAGAATTATATGATGAAAATACAGGGCAGGTGGAGCCTCTATGCAGCTGTGTTTGAGTGACTCTAAGTCATATTTGACCAGGAAAGACTGGTGTCAGCCATCAGCAGTGATCTGGGCTGAAACCCCAGAGACCAAAGAGCACTGGCATTTAAGAGATGGCATCTAAACCCCATAACTTAAAAAGAAAATGAAAACTTTTGTAGTAATGTTGAATATATTTCAATTGATCTCAAACAAGCTTCTCTGATTTTACTAGTAAGGATGCGAAGTTACTTAAGAAATCTCTAAGACATTCACTGCTTACATAAATAGAAAAGTCAGACAAGCTATGAAAAGCCCAGATAAGCAAGGAAAGGTACACTAATGTGGAGAGAAAGGTTATCCTTCTTTCCAACCAAGTCCTCACTACAATGTACAAAATAGCTCCCCCAAACATGGGGGGGTGTGACATGGCAAAGAAAGATAATGCTCATGCAGGTTGCCTGTTTAAAAGTTATGCCAAGCTTGTCAAATGCATTTGGTCAACTCCAATCCTGGTTGTTCACAAACAGAAAACATCCTTAAGATATAGTGGTGGTACAATGGGTTACAGCTCAGCACTACAAAACTATTGGCAGCCACTGCAGCATGAATTTGATCCCAGACCAGGGAGGTAACCCACATGGTGTGGCATTCCTCTCCTGACCCACCTGCAGTCCCCACCCCCAGCGTATTTTCGTACATCTGCCTGTTCTGCTCCCCACTCTGTCTCCGGTGAATCCATTTACCACATCCCCGGTACCCTGGCCTGAGCCCCAGTTCATGTATGCCTAAATACATAAATCATTTTTAAAAGTTCTTTAAAAAAATACAATGGTGTTTTGTTTGTTTGGTTTTAGGTTTCTTGGGACTGTGACACAAAGGCACAGATTCTGTGACTAAATGCAGCTTCAGCTTTCTGGAGGAAAGGAAGTATATGTAAGTTTGTAGCCCATTTGGTAATAGGTAATCTGGGAATCATGGGGCATTACCTTCCTGTGCACATTGTCTGCAGCTGAAAAAACAGGACGTTCTACTTGGCTGTTCTGCAGACCTCTTGTCTATAGTGAAATCATTGAAAGCAAATTTGAAGATTTTGTAATGTTTGATCTAACTAGGCTTTAAGCAGTCATAAAAAGAGATGGTCAAAAAATGGGCAGAAGGGGCCCTCCCTGGTGGTGCAGCGGGTTAAAGCACAGCACAAAGAAGCTTAAGCCATTTCCACATGAGTTCGATCCCCGCCTGCCCTGGAGGAGACCCACATGGCGTGGCAGACCTCTCCTGGCCCGCCTGCTGCCCCCCTCAGCAGTGTACTTTGATCATCTGCCTGTTCTGCTCCCCACTCTGTCCCTGGTGAATCCTCTCATCCTCAGCATCTCTGGCCTGTACCCCAGTTCTGTACAAATAAATAAATCTTTAAAAATAAATAAATAAAATTTTTTAAAAAATGGGCAGAAGAGCTAAAAAGACACTTCTCCAAAGAGGAAATGTAGATGGCCAACAAGCATATGAAAAAATGTTTGACATCACTCATAATAAGGGAGATGTAAATTAAAACCACAATGAGATACCATCTCACCCCAGTGAGAATGGCACATCTTCAAACAACTAGCAACAACAAATGTTGGTGAGAATGTGGTGAAAAAGGAACTCTCCTGCACTGCTGGTGGGAATGCAAACTAGTAAAACCACTATGGAAAACTGTTTGGAGGCTCCTCAAACTGCTTAACATGGAGCTTCCCTACGACCTAGCAATCTCACTCCTAGATATCTACCCAAAAGACACAAAAACACTGATTCAAAAAGATACCTGCACCCCCATGTTTATTGCTGCTTTATTTACAATTGGAAAAACATGGAAGCAGCCCAAATGCCCAAAAGTAGATGACTGGATTAAAAAGATGTGGTACATATATGCAATGGAATATTACTCAGCAACCAAAAAAAAGAAACACATGTCTTTTGCAGCAACTTGGATGGAGCTGGAAAAGATCATGCTGAGTGAGATAAGCCAGAAAGAGAAAGAAAAATACTGGATGGTTTCGCTCATAGCAGGAGTATAATGGACCAGGCAAGAAAATAATAAGAACAATGAGCAGTCATATACCAGGGACATTTTGTGGTGGTGGAGTGGGGAATGGGATCAAACAAGGGGGGCAAAGGGGGAGGGAAGTGCACAGGACTATGGTGATGGCCATGGGTGACGCAGTGATGGGAAACCACAGGGATTACAATTGAGATGAAAAAAAAAATGTACAAAATGATGTAAAAATAAACTATTATATTAAAAAAAAAAACAAATGAAGAAACTGCAAAATAAAAACCTCTGAAAATTCTCTCTTCAATAAAAACAATGAAAAAAAATGGTAAAAAAAAAAGAGAGAGAGAGAGATGGTCAAAACTATCATCCCAAACAGAAATTATAAATATGATTCAGATTTTATCAGCAATTAAGTGGATTGTGAGAACAGTAAAAGCATCTTATTCTGGTTCCAGATATACTGGTAACATAGCTAAATATGTTGGTACCTATTGAGTAGAATTGCACTGACAAGTTTTGTTGACCAAAGAGTGCTTGGTTAGGCAAAACATCCCTGAACTATAGGACTTCCAGGAAGATGTCTTCTCTGAGACCAGAGTGATTGAAGAAATCAAAACTGTTTTTTTCTTAAAAAAAAAAACAAAAAAAAAACAAAAAAAACTGAAACCCTAAAACTCTGAAATGGGAAAATAACTGAAATGGGAAAATAACTCCAAAGGAGTAACTTCAACTTCAAGGTAAAGGGCACTAGGAAGATGGCTCCTCTTAAAAAAAAAAAAAAAAGATTTATTTTATTTATGCATACAAGAACTGGGGTCTAGGGGGATAGGTTTATAGGACTCACCAGAGACAGAATGGGAAGCAGAACACACGGACCCCTTGAAACACACTGCTGAGGGGAGCAGTGGGCAAGACAGGAGAGGTCTGCTGTGCCATATGGGTCAGCTCCCTGGCTTAGAATAGAACTCATGCTGCCACGGCTGCGATAGCACTGAGATTTTAACACCCCCCCCACCCCCCCACCTCCTGTCCCCCCCAGGGAAGCCCATACATCTCTTTGCAGCAATTAGGAGTCATAAAGTGTTCTGCTCAATGTTGTTTAAGAACTATTGATCTTAATACAGTCCTGAATATTGCACAAGAATATAATTTATAATACATGGAAAAATAAGGCAGGGTTAAATACTAGGAACCAAGAATCAACCATGATTATTTTTTAAAGGTTATGTTTTTTTAAAAAAAGATGTTTTGTAAGAAAACAAATATATACAGCTAATTTCTTACATTTACAAGACACAAAAAGTTTTGAAAATAATGTTAGGATTATTGTTTGTACTGAAATATTGCTATGCAAGTTGCCTTGATTATTAATAAGTCAATATATGATGACATCAATATTTCTGTTAAAAATTAAAACTTACCATGGTTATGGCATAGAAAAATCAAGTGTTAAAGCAGGAGTTATGTATTTATGTTGAATGTGTTACTGATTGAAACCTATGTTACACTGTTTTTAAAATTTGAGAATATTTTTACTATCTCTGACTTTTTGGAGGGCAGAGGCCAGGTGACCATGTCATGTGTCCATGGATTAATCTTATGTAAAAGAAAACAAAGTGACTATACATTTGTATGAATCCTAAACTAGAAATGTCTATAAAACTTGCTAATTTATGTTCACTTTTTGTTATATATAGAGTTCTATAATTTTCATTTCTCTATCATCTATATTAATTTTAGTAAATGCCTAAGTTATATTAGATGAAAAGCATGAAGGAGAAATGTATGTTGAAATCAAGGTTAGGATTTGATAAACCTAGATGTAGTTTATGGAACACCGAAGGTACCAAACTAGCAGTAACGAATGGGCTGTGGTTCTGGAAGAATAGTCTGGTAGCCCTGTCTGAGATGAACCATAAGGGAAGAAGTCACCTATAGTATTATTGTGATTTGGTGGGAGTTCATGAGGGCTTGAATTAGGGAAGTGGCAGTGAGACTAGAGAATATGAGGTGATTGTATGAGAACTACTGAAGAGAAGGAATTGAGAAATTTGCTAACTAACCAAATGTGAAGGCAAGGGAGATGAAGTAGTTCAAAATGACACTGAGCTTTCATGCCTGGGAACTAGACAAGGCCATCAACAGAAATCAATTTTATAGGAATAGGAACAGGCTATGGGGAATATTGTAGAAGTGAAATAAATTACATAAGTGGATTAGTGAACAAATGGAAAATTTATTTGTCTATGTCCAGAAAGCAGTTAGAAATTAAGGTCTCAGTTGGAAAGAGAAATCCGATTGTCTTTTAAGAAAAAGGGAAATTCCTGTTACTGATATATGTATCAGTGTCCTTCCTGAATCCTATCCAATGGAGAATGTGATTGTTGATGGAATGGGGGGTCAGACAGCTGTGGGTTTAGGTGCTCATCTGCACCACATGAGTACATAATACTATTAAATATATAAAAAGAAAAATCCATATAGCCTGGTAGTTCTTAATATATTACAAAGTATAATCTCTAGAATAAACACCTAAAAGTAATATTACTTTACCCTGGGATGTGATATTTCCACTGACGAATCATTCTTATGATTAATTAAGACACACTTGATCACAGGCAGATCTTCATTTGTAATCGTCTCAAATATTATTGCTGAAAAAGCAACTGTAAGACAAAATAAGGACAATGATAGTGATATATGCACACCTTAAAGAGCAAACATTTATCTTACAACAAAACAAAATATAATCAAGGAAAAGTGACCAACATGAAGGTTATGGGAAATACCATTTCACAAAAGGCAAATCCTAATATAAATCAAAAGCAGTGGACTTAGAATAGTGCTGTCTAACAGAAAGCTCTGCAGTGATGGATGTGTCTTTATCTGTGCTGTCCCGATTGCTATTCAATTATCTTCCTACCTTGTAACTGGAGACAGTTTTCTCTTGCTTAAGAACCTCAGTATTGCAGCTATTTGTGGGAGCCACATTAAGACATATTCACTGGTTTGCTTTACTCTATTTTATTTTATATAAATATATATATATATATATATATATATATAGAGAGAGAGAGAGAGAGAGAGAGAGAGAGAGAGAGATTTATTTATGCATACAGAACTGGGGTACAGGCCAGAGTTGGGTGGCAGTGAGAGGATTCACCCAAGACAGAGTGATGAGCAGAACAGGCAGATCAACTAAGTACACTGCTGAGGGGAGCAGCAGACAGCTCAGGAGACGTCTGCCACACCAGGTGGGTCACCTCCGGGGTTGGGATCAAACTCATGCTGAAGTGGCTTTAGCTTCTTAGTGCTGTGCTTTAACCTGCTGTGCCACCAGGGAGGGCCCTATTTTTAATTCTTTATTAAAGAAGAAGTATACCAGAATAGAATTAGGAGAGTTATAGAAGTATTGCACCAATACTACTAGAACTATAAGTGAAAACTTATTCTAAATTCTGATATCCTCACAAGTAAACCATTTTTACTTCTCTAGACCTTTAAATACAGTCTATTATACATACAATTTATAACAGTGTATTATACATACAATGTTATATATTGATATAAATAGAACATATACTGAATATAAATTATATATGATGGAATATTACATCTCCATCAGTCACATTTTCTTTATCTATTTGTCCATCAGTGAACATTTTGAGTGTTTCCATGCCTTGGCCATTGTTAATAATCTAACAATGAACATGGGAGTACAGGCATCTATTTGCAGTGACTTTGTTTCTTTGACACATATCCAGAAGTAGAATTACTGGATCATATGGTAGTTCTATTTTTAATTATTTGAGCTTTATCTCCTAATAGTTGCACCAATTTACATTCCCTTCCACATTGTTTAAAGAAGGGCTCCCTTTTGTCCAAATCTTCACCAACACTTGATATCTCTTGTATTTTTATTTTATTTTTTAAAGATGTATTTATTAATGCATACAAGAACTGGGGTGTAGGCTAGAGGTATGAGGGGTGAGAGGATTCACTAGAGACAGAGTCAGGAACAGACCAGGCAGACATACTGAAATACACTGTTGACAGGAGCAGTGGGTGAGACAGGAGAGGTCTGCTATGCCATGTGGGTCACCTCCCTGGCTGGGGATCGAACTCATGTTGCAGTGGCTATGGATAGCTTCATAGTACTTTTTAACTGATTATGTCACCAGGAAGGTCCTCTATCTCTTGTATTTTTAATAGCAATCTAATGTGTATGAGATAATATCCCATTGTGGTTTTGATTGGTTTGTATTTCCCTGATAATTATATGTGTTCAATATTTTTTCACATACTTGTTGGACAGTTTGTCTTCTTTGGAGAAATGTTTATTCACTTTCTCTGGCCACTTTTTAGAGGAATTTTTTGGGTTTTGTTTGTTTTTACGATTGAGTTGTATAAATTCTTTATAGTTTGGATAGTAATCTACTATCAGCTGTATGATTTGCAAATGTTTCCTCCTATTCCATAAGTTGCCTTTTCATTTTGTTGATACTATCCTTTTAGTTTGCTATAATCCTTCTTGTTTATTTTTGCTATGCTTGCCTTTGTTTTTGATATCAAATTCTAAAAATCATTGTTAAGAATAAACTCAGGCTCTCTCTGATGGCACACTGGGTTAGGATGTAACACTGCAAGCTAGCCACAGCCACTTCAGTGTGAGTCCCACGCCCGGCCCTGGAGGTGATCCACATGACGCAGTAGATCTGTTCTGTTTTGCCTACTACTCCCCTCAACAGTGTACTTTGTCAATCTGCCTATTCTGCTCCCAGTGGTGAATCCTCTCACCACCCCTGTACCTCTGGCCTGTACTCCAATTCTGTATGCATAAATAATTTTTAAAAAATCTTAAAAAAAAAAAAAAAAGAAGAAGGTCAAAGAGTTCACCCAATGTTTTCTTCTAGGAATTTTATGGCTCAGGGTTTACATTCAACTCTTTAATTAATTTTGAGTATAGTGTAAGACAACATGAATTTAGCCCAATTTCATTCATATTTATTTTATGAACACCATCTTTTTTTTTAAAAAAAATATTTTTTTATGCATACAGAACTGGGGTACAGGCCAGAGGTGCAGGGGTGGTGAGAGGCTTTACCAGAGACAGAGTGGGGAGCAGTGTGCCATCAGACAGATCAATGAAGTACACTGCTGAGGGGAGCAGGGGGTGGGTCAGGAGAGGCCTGTGGCACCATGTGGTCACCTTCCCTGGGTGGGGATGGAACACATGCTGAAGTGGCTTCAGCTTCTTAATGCTGTGCTTTAACCTGCTGCACCAACAGGGAGGCCCTTTATACCATCTTTTAAAGACACCATCCTTTTCCCATTGTATACATTTGGCTCCTTTGCCATAAGTTAATTAACCTAATATGTGTAGGCTTATTTCTGGGCTCTTTATTCTGTTCCACTGACCTATGTATCTATTTTTATGTCAGTAGTGTACTGTTTCGGTTAGTATAGTTTTATAATATAATTTAAGATCTGGAAGTTTAGTGTTCCCAGTTTTGTTCTACTTTTCAAGATTGCTTTGGATATTTGGGATCTTTTTTGGTTCCATGTAAATTTTAGTGTTGTTCATTCTATTTCTGCAAAACATGCCTTTGGAATTTTGACAGAGATTTCATTGAATCTTAAGATTACTGTGAATATTAATATTTAAACAATATTTTTCCAAGCCATGAGCAAGGAAATTCTTTCTCTTTATTTGTGTTTTCATTTTCTTTCATAAGTTTCTTACAATTTTCAATGTACTGATCTTTCATCTCCTTGGTTGACTTTATTCCTATGGGTTCTATTCTTTATAATGTACTTGCAAATGGAATTGTTTTCTTAATTTCTCATTTTTTTGTTAATGTATACAATGGCAATTAATTTGGGTATACTAATTTCTGTATCCTACAACTCTATTGAATTT